ACACTTGAGACCTTTCTAGGAAAATGGATGCACCCTGATTGACATTGTTTATCTTTCATCAGTCATGGCTTGAAGGCCACTTTCTCCACAAATAGAATAGCTGCCCCTGTGTTTTGTTTTGTTTTGTTTTGTTTTGTTTTGTTTTGTTTTGTTTTGTTTTGAGACTGCGTCTCGCTGTATAGTTCAGGCTGACTTTAAGCTCTCTGTGTAGTCCAGGCTGGCCTCAAACTCATGGCAATCCTCCTGCCTCAGTGCTACGATTACAAGTGTGTACCACCACCCCGGCACCTCTGGTTTTTTTAGTTTCCTGTTCTATAGAGTGTCCTTTGATTTTGTTGTGTGACTTTCAGTCTAAGAATTTCTTTTTGTTTGTTTAGTCGGTTGGATTTGGGTTTTTTGGTACCAGGGATCAAACTCGAGACCTTGTACTTGCCAGGCGTGTGCTTATGCCACTGAGCTGTCTCCCTGGCCCTAAGAATTTCTTTTTGAATTAAACATATTTCTTCTATTTTTCGATCTTCTAGATCCATTCTGCCATCCTGTTTTGGTTTTTTGTTTGTTTGTTTGTTTTCTTTTCTTTTCTTTTGGAGTACCAGGGATATTGAACTCAGGACCTTGTACTTGCCAGGCAGGTGCTTATGCCACTGCGCTATTTCCCCGACCCTATCCTGTTTCTTTTGATTGGTATATTGAGACCATTTACATAACTGATGATAGATTGACTTATCCTTGTTGTGTTATTTTCTTGTTGATTGTCTTTTTTCCCCAATTTCCCTTTTTTTCACCCTCCGTTTAATTGCTTTTTTTTAAATACAGGTATTCTTTTTTAAAAAATGTATTTAGTACAGGGTCTACAGGATCTCTGTCTCAGAGCAACCCAAGGGCGGGGCTGGCACCCTGTGTCTGCCTAAGCAGGCACTGAGCTATCTGGCCAGCCCTTTAATTGCTTTCTTTACTTGATGAATTCATTCTGTTGAGATTCATAGAGTTATAGACTTTGTTATCTCTTTTTAGAATTTCTTCAGAACATTTTGGGGTGCTGGTTTTGTGTTGATGAATTTCTTTAGGTGTTCTTTGTCATGGAAGCATCTTCTCTTTTTTTTCTGGAACCTGGGATTGAATTCAGGCCCTTGAGCTTGCCAGGCAAGTGCTTATTCTACTGCGCTATCTCCCCATCCCCTTAATTCTCCATCAATTTTTTTTATATTTATTTATTTATTTATTTATTTCGTGAGTGTGTGGCCAGCTCAGCCCACCAGGGGGCGGGGCTGGCTGGCATGTGGTGCTGGGGGATTGAACCGCGGTCCCTGTGTTTTGCTTATCTTAGCTTGTTCTAAGTAGGGGCTTTAGACCACTGAGCCATCTCACCAGCCCTCTCCATCAATTTTGAAAAATAATTTTGTGGAGTATATTACTCTGGATTGGAAGTTCTTTCTTTTTTTAATATTATATTCTCTTTTATTAATTTTATTGACAAATAGCAATGAGACAGTTTCAAAACAGGTTAGTAGGACAGTTACAACAATTAATACATTGCATATTGTTGTCTTTTAGTACTTATTGATAATACAAGATGCAGACATGATATCCTGTCCAAACACTATTAGTACAAATCCTTCCTCTCATTGAATTAAGAGAAAGTAAGCTGTATATCTATCCTATTTTGGATATACAGATACAAAATGGTCCTTCATTTGTATCCCCTTTTTTTGTTTAGTTTTGCCAGAGATGGGTATTCCATTGTCATTTAAATATTGTAGGTGTGTGAATTCAACAAAATAATCCAATATAGTCCAGTAGTCCATAATAGTAGTGGGTCATCCGTAATGGAAGTTCTTTCTTTCAGGGCTTGAAGCACTTCTCTCCAAGCTCTCCTTGACTTGAGGGTTTGCGTTGAGAAGTCACCTGTGATTCTCATGGGCTTTCCTTTGTAGGCGATTTGTTTCTTTTCTCTAACAGCTTTTAATATTCTGTTATTGTATTGAATTTCTGGAATCTTGACTATTGTATGCCTTGGTGATTTTTTTTGGATCATGGATAATTGGAGTTCTGTATGCCACACTTCTCTGTATGTCAAATTCTTTTTCCATGCTTGGGAAGTTTTCTGCCATGACTACTGTGAACAGATTTTTATGTTGTTTGAGCTGTCTCTTGCTTTCTTCATCGACTCCAGTTAATCTTATTTTATTCTTCTTTTATTATCTAGCAGGTATTGGATTAATTTTTACAGTCCATCATTATTTTTAAGAAATCTCTCAGGCCAGACAGATAGCTCAACAGATTAAAGTGTCTGCTTAGGCAGACTGCATTGCCCAGGGTTCGAACCCAACCTGCCGTGCCAGCTCCACCCCTGGGGCACGATGAGAAGGCAATTGAGACTAGGCATGGTGGTGTGTGCCTATAATCCCAACACCTGGGAGGCAGAAAACAGGAGAATCACTATGAGTCCTATCTACATAGTAAGACCCTGTAGACCCTGTCATTAAAAAATTTCTCTCCATGATTGTTAGCCAAAATCTTGTCTTTTATATCTGAGAGTGTAGAAAACTCACTAAACAGATGGCTACAGTCATCACCCCTCACACTTAGCAGTCTCTGGGGGAGGGAAAACCCCACTACCAGAGCTACCACACTAGACAGTCCAGATGTCCAATATTCAGCAGAAACAGTAGAATACTGTACTGTCACAAAGCCTCCATACAGCAGACAGTAGAGACACTGATTCACCTTAGTCATTGGTAAAAAAAAAATGTAGATTTTTTTTTTTTTTTTTTGGCAGAACCAGGGATTGAACTCACGGCCTTGCGCTTTCAGGGAAGCTCTTACTCCACTGAGCCATCTCCCCGGCCCAAAAATGTAGGTGTCAGTTTGTAAAAATTTCTATGTAAGGGCTGGATACAGGCTCAGGGGCATAACGCATGCACGAGGCCCTGTATTTGTCCCTAGGACCATAAGAAAAAAGAAAGAAAACTTGATCTTCCCTTGTATTCACGGCCCAAGGGAAAGAGGTTAGTAAGGTGGTATCAGTTCCCCCCCCACTCCCTTTATGAAGCGGTCAGCCAGCAAATCCAGCAGTGGAAGAGTAGGCAGCAGGAAGTGGCCGCTCCAGAAGCCGCTCCATAGAGCGCGCCCTCTGCTGGAGGAGCGAAAAAACCTCGCGGTCACGGGCCACAGCTGCAGCACACCTGTCATCACAATAACAAGTCAAAAAAAAAAGAAGGAGAAGGAGAAGGAAGAAGGAGAAGAAGAGAAAGAAGAAGAGAGGGCAGCTGAATAGCTCAGCGGATTAAAGCGCCTGCAAGCAGGCGCTGGGACCTAGGGTTCAATACCCAGGCTTGCCGTGCCTGCCCAGCCTCTGGGGTACACTGAGACAAAAATTGAGACTGGGACTGGTGGCGCACGCCTGTAATCCCATCTCTTGGGAGGCTATAAACAGGCAGATCACTAGAGTCTGATCTTGTAATGAGACCCGAACACCCTGTAGAACCTTCCCTAAAATACAAGAAAAAGAAACAAATAGCCACTTCTGGGTGCATCTCTGCTGTCACTGGTAAAATGAGTGGGCAGACATATTGACTAATCCCAGCCAGCCAGTGGTAGATTTATGGCAGACTAGTGCATAATCCCAGCCACCCTGCACCTTCAGTTCCACTGAACTTCAGGCTGTTTTCTCACAATGAAGCTGGAACCCTATGAGTTCAGTGTGCAAAACTCAACTCCTGTGCCTTCTGCTGGTGTGAATTCACTTGTGCCCCACCCTGACACTAGGAGCCCCTGGATGGAGCTGGCCTGCAGCTGCTCTGAGTGCAAAGCTCAGTTGTTGCTGGCCAGTTGCCCTCTCCTGGGGGTGTCTGATCCCAAATAACTCGCCAGCCACCGCAGTCCACGGGTCTGTCCCACTGGACGTTTTTCTGTGGAGGCCCCTAGATCACACGGTGATCAGTGCTCAGGGAGAAAGTGCTACTTGCCACCTTGTCCTCTTGTGTTGAGGTTTCTCTTTGCTCTCCCTGGGGGCTTCGTTCTTGCTTCAGGCCCTCGATTGGGCCCTGGGACCCACTTCCCTCCTCCTCTTCCTCACATCGCTATGTTCCAGTGTGTGGACATCAAATCTCAGAGAAGCTGTTTCTCTGCTGTTCAGCCCTCTGCCATCTTCCTGGAAGTACAACATCATGCCCTTGCAATGGTATTCTGCATCTCTATGTCCCTATAGGCCAAAGCAATGGAGCCAGCAGACTAAGAAATCAAAGCCCTGGGCTGGCAAGATGGCTCAGTGGTCTAAAGCACCTACTTAGAACAAGCTTAAGCTAAGCAAAGTACAGGGACCGCGGTTCAATTCCCCGGCACCACATGCCAGCCAGCCCCGCTCCCTGGTGGGCTGAGCTGGCCCCACACACACACTAAATTAATTAATTAATTAATTAAAAATTTAAAAAAAAGAAATCAAAGCCCTGAAACTGTAAACCAGAGTAAACCTCACTTCCTTTCAGTTGACTTCTCTTCTCAGTTACTTTTGTCAATGATGTTAAAGTAACCAAGAGACAGAGTGAAAAGAAGAGGTAGCTAGGGACATGTTATATCTGCTGTTGGATCGATGGTTTAGATTAGTCACTTAAGTAATTCCCCCACATCTCAGTTCCTCACCTATGAAATATAGTAGCACTGTTTCAGTAGAGGAATAGGTCTGGCTAGCTAATAAACATGAGGAAAACCACAGCTACCCAAGAACTGTCAATAAGGCAGAGAGAAACAAAGATACTTATCTGTTTGGCAGAAATACATTATTTATTTGTTTGTTTGCTTATGTATGTATGTCTTTTTGAGACACGGTCTCCCTATGCAGTTCAGGCTGCCGTTGAGCTCACTTTGTAGCCCAGGCTGGCCTCAAGCTGAGAGTGATCCTCCTGCCTCAGCCTCCAGAGTAGGGGTCTATAGGTGTGTACCACATACCTGGCCTCAGAAACACATTTTAAAGACTGAGGCAGAAAGAGTGCCATGAGTTCATGACCAGCCTGCCTTGTATTGGAAGACTCTGTCTCATAAATAAAATTGATTTTTGGGCCGGAGAGATAGCTTGTGGTCTAAACACCTGCCTGGCAAGTGCAAAGATCCGGGTTCAATCCCTAGTACCGCATGCTGTACCTGTCCTGTGCCGAGCCAGCCACCAAAACCAGGCATGGTGGGCACACACCTTTAATCCCAGTCCTGAGGAGGCTGAGACATTAGGATCACTGAGTCTGAGCTGCATAGAGAGACCCTGTACCAAATAAATAAATCTTTTTTAAAATTTCTTGATTTTCTTACACTATGATCTCTTTATGAAATCCCAAACCAGTTTTAGGAGGAGGCTATTTATTTATTTGCTGTTGGATACTGGGAATTGAACTCTGGACCATACTTGCCAGGCAGGCACTTTGCCACTGAGCTAAATCCCCAGCCCCATTTTATTTTTTTGTTGTTGTTGTTTTGTTTCTTTCTTATTTGAAACAGAGTCTCAGTATGTATTCCAGGCTAGCCTTAAGCTGGTAGTCATCCCAAGTGCTGAGATTACTGTGTGCCCCACCAGGCACTGCAGGAGTTGTAAGTGTGGTAGCTTTTCTTTCTTTTTTCCCCTGTGTTTTGTGGTACCTAGCATTCAGCCCTATTTAAATTTTGATACATGGTCTTACTGAATTCCAAGGTGGGATTTCAATTTGTAATCTTCCTGCCTCAGGCTTCCGTTTGTTTGTTTGTTTGAGGACCCTAGCACCTTTATTTTCCAAATACTTCACTGTGGCTAAGTATAATAGGTGCTTTACCAAAATTTTAAGCTACTTATTAAAAAGAAAAAGACAAAACACTAATTTTTTTTACTTTTTTTTGGTACCAGGAATCGAACTCAGTACCTTGCACTTGCCAAGTAGGTGTTTAGGCCACTAATCTTCCTGCCTCAGGCTTCTTCTTTTTTTATTTTATTTTATTGAGAAACAAATATCAATGAGACAGTTTCAAACCTGATTAATAGGACAGTTTTGAATAATTAATACCTTGTACACTGTTATCTTCTTAGTGTTTATCCATAGTACAAGATGCAGACAGAATATCCTGTCCAAACACTATTAGTACAAATCTTTCTTCTCATTGAATTAAATGAAAGTAGGTGTATATCTATTGTAATTATTCTGCATATACAGATACAAAATGGTCCTTCCTTTGTATTGCCTTTTTTTGTTTAGTCCTGTCAGAAACGGGTGTTCCATTGGCATCTAAATACTACAGGTACCTGAATTCAGCAAAACAATCCAACACAGTCCAGCAGTCCACAATAGTAGTAGGTTATCCACAGAAGTTGTTGACTTGAGCCTTTCACAGCTCAGCATATTAATATGGCTTTACTTTATTTTATTTTTTTTTAAAAAAGGGAAACATCAAGTTTAATTTAAAGAAAAAACCACTAGACACTGTTAACAGGAATGACAGAGCAAACCAACTCCTGAAAAAGTTCAGCACCTTGGTGAATATGTGTAGTAGAAAGCTAAAAGAAAAACAATGCTACTTAACTTAAAATGTTACAAGGTTTTTGCAAATCATCCCCTGGTATCAAATATGTGTGCAGCCTTGTCCCGTGAATGTCTGATGCAGTTAAACAGCCCAATGTTGCCACACAGGAAAAAATTTCCATTTCAACCAACTCTTAGTGGAGGGGCAACTAGCACAACACCGTCTCCCTGGACAAACAGCATTGGGATATTTCGTTTTGTTGATTTGTATATCTCCTCATATGTCTCTTCATCAATTTCTATAGTGGTCACAGTTTCTTCCACATCTCCCAATATCATGTTTAAATGCTGATCATAAGCGTGTAATCTGCCTCGAAGCTCTCGGTCGTTCCTCATTTTCACATAGATCCGCTCATCCAGGCTGAGTCTGATGAGATCCAGCGGCTCCTCTACGGTGTTGGTGGTTTGTTGCTGGTCCACGTCGTCCGCCATCTTTCAAACCCTGCCATGGCTTTACTTTATACACCTCGTTTTTATACTTTTCTGCCTGTGGTTAAGACCAAGATAAAGCAAGACCTATACAACAAGAAATGTAACCTTTGTATCTGATAAGGTCAGTCAAGTCCTCTCAAGATTTATCCTGTAACCCTGTACCGCAGTTTGCAGATCCTTTGTCAGTGTCAGCCTTGTGTTGAGTCACGGCCATTGCTTGACCAATGTGCTCTCTGTGAAAGCCTGAGAGAATGTGTCCTCTACAGGTGACTCTCCTTACTGCCTCAGGCTTCTACGATGCCGAAATTACAGGTGTGTGCCACCATGCCCAGCTCAAAAATTTTTCTTGAGTATTGTCATGCACTTAGTATTCCTCATATTCAATAGAATTAGCTTCTCATTGTATTAAACTCTTGATTGAGCCAGGTGTGCCACACCTGTAATTCCAGCACTCTGAGCTGCTAAGGCGGGAGGATTACAACTGGGGGCCCAGCCTGAGCAATTTAATGACTTAGCAAGACACAATGTCAAAATAAAAAATAAAAAAAGGATAGGGAATGTAGCTCAGTGTGAAGGCCCACAGTTCAATCCCCAGTACCATGAAAAAGAATAATAATAATAATACAGTGAAATCCTGATGTGAATTTGATTGGTGTTGCAGTTTGTATGTGGTATTAGGAATTGAATCCAGTGCCGCTTTTCCACTTATGTCCCAGACTGACCGACTGACCCCCCCATTTTGAGACAGGGTCTGGCTATATAGTGTAGACTGGCCTTGAGCTCACTAAGTACCCCACACTGGCCTTGACTCCTGGCAGCCTTCCTGTCTCTGTGCTGCAATTACTGGGTCTACAAACATGTGCCTCGCAGCCTGGCCCTTTTTTTTTATTTATTTATTTATTTATTTATTTTTATTTATTTATTTTTGCAGAACTGGGGATTGAACTCAGACCCTTGCGCTTGCCAGGGAAGCGCTTATTCCACTGAGCCATCTCCCCGGCCCCTCTTTTTATTTATTTTGAGAAAGGATTTCACTAAATTGCCCCAACTGAGCTCCAACTTGGGTCCTCCTGCCACAGCCTCCTGAACAGCTGAGAATATAGGCATGTGCCATGAAGACTGGGCTGGTGTTACAGTTTTTAATGTTTAGGGATTTGGGGGGGACAAAATCTCACTAGGTAGTCCAGGCTGGCCTTAAACACACTCTATCCCAGTCTGGGCTTGAACTCTTGATCCTCTTGCTAAAGTCCACTGTTTATTCATCTGGCTTTCCATCTGCCTTTTTTTTTTTTGTATGCCTGTCCACTTATCTTGTTGTCTATTTGTCTTTCTGTCCTTCCCTCTGTGTTTTGTTTTGTTTTGTTTTTTCCAGAACCGGGGATTGAACTCAGGTCCTTATGCTTGCCAGGCAAGCACTTATTCTCCGGCCTCCCTCTGTGTTTTAGTCCACCTGTCCATTTTTTTGTTTGTATCTCTCTGTCTGTATATATTGCTGTCAGTCTGTCCCTTGATCTGTGTCCATATTTCTGTCTGTTTTACCTTCTTCCTGAGATACAATATCTGATGCCTACAAGTTCAAAGAAGAAAGGTTTAATTTATCCCACAGTTTGTAGAAGTTTAAGTACATATTCTGCTGGTTCCAGGGCAGGATGGCATGGCAGAGGGTTATCATGGAGGAGAAACAGCCTAGCAAGGCAAACAGGAAGCACCAAAGCAGTGAGCCTCTCTTTCCCTCCTTATTCTATCTAGGTTACAACCCCATTGGCTGGTCCCACTGACAGCCAAGGTAGGTCTCCTGTCTTCAGTAAATCCATTCAGCCACAATCAGAACCATACTAATTTAATCAGTGGGCTTATTAGGTGCCTGTGATACAGATTCACACACTCTAGGTCCAGACGCCTGGGTGCATGAGGTTTTGGAGGGACATTTAGATATAAGCCAATTGTCCTTACATCCTCTGACTGTACATCTGTCTGTGTCTCATTCTGTTTGTTTGTTTGTTTGTTTGTTTATTTATTTATTTATTTATTTATTTATTTTGGTGGAACCAGGGATTGAACTCAGGCCCTGGCGCTTGCCAGGCAAGCACTTATTCTACTGAGCCATCTCCCCGGCCTCCTGTGTCTCATTCTGGTTGGCTGGCTATTCTTTCTGTCTGTTTTTTGTTTGTGTGTTTTAAGAGAGTACAAAATAATGATAATAAAAAAATTAGAAATGATACAGAATTTCACTAAACAATATAATATGAATTTGACAGTGTTTGTTGTATTGCCTAATGTTGTCTTCAAATTAGTTGTTTAGATTACCAGATGTATGCATGCAAAATTAGAAAAAGAAAGTTATAAGAAATTAACAGAGAAAAATGAAAAAATAAAATTAAGGATTAACTGCTCCTTTCCATAGACCAGCAGAAACCCGTAGGAAAATTTTTTTAAATTAATTTTATTGAGAAACAAATAGTAGTGAGACAGTTTCAAAACCAATTAGTAGGACAGTTTCAATAATTAATACATTGCATATTGTTGTCTTTGTAATGGTTATTCATAGTACAAGATGCAAACATAATATCCTGTCCATAAACACTATTAGAAGAAATCTTACTATTCATTGGATTAAGAGAAAGTAGGTGTATATCTGTCCTAAATATCATACGTGTATAAATTCAGCAAGATAATCCAATACAGTCCAGTAGTCCATAATAGTAGTGGGTTATTCGTAGGACTGGCAATGTCAGAAGTTGTTGACTTGAGCCTTTTACAGCTCAGCATGTTAATATGGCTTTACTTTTTTTTTTTTTTGAGGGAAGAAAAGGTTTATTTAGCTCACTGAAATCTGGAGATTTCAAGACATTGGAGGAGAGGCTGGGGCACTGCCATGTCCTGGATGACTCGCTCCACATCTCTGAGGGAGTCCGCTGACTGGGGGGGGGGGGGGCGGGCAGTGTGGCTTTCAATTTAACGATTTACACCTCTCTGGCCCCGCCCCGCCCTGCTCCTCTGGCCCCGTCCCTCAAGCCCTTTGCTGCTACTCCAGCTGCATCTGCCCCATGACCTACATGCGGGTTTAGGGGAACAACTAGACACAAACTATAACACTTTCCTTTTGCATTAAGAAGAATACACTGGTAACTACCAATAAAATATAAAAAATTTAAAGATGGGTACAAAATAGAAAAAAAAAAATACCTAGCCATTTCTACAAACGTTACCATCTGTTTATATTCCCAATAGAAATAACTACTGTAGGGCTGATGAGATGGCTCAGTGGTCTAAAGCACCTACTTAGAACAAGCTAAGCCAAGCAAGCACAGGGACTGCGGTTCAATCCCCAGCACCACATGCCAGCCAGCCCCGCCCCCTGGTGGGCTGAGCTGGCCACACACAAAAATAACTAAACAAATAAATAAATAATTTTTTAAAAAAGAAAGAAAGAACTACTGTAAAGAAGCTACTAACGTAAAAGTAGTTCACCTGGAATTATT